TGTGTTCTACAACTAGAGAGCATCTAAAAGAAGATGAAATGAAGCTTGGAAAGGATGATTTGTTGAGGGATGGATGGCTTCTTTTATAGCACCATGGGTTGGTTGAAACTCCCCTCCATTTTAGGTGGAAAAAGGGTTGAGATTCACCTAACCACCTCTCTTGGACTTGGACTCACGGTTTTGAACATGTGGGAATGTCCTCCTTGCCCTTCATTAATCAAAACATGCGTTTTGACAAATTGCCCTCCAAAAATGGGTCGGGCGCAATTCTGCAAAAAAACAGAATTCTGTTATTTTCTTCCAACTTTGACCGCATTTATCTCATATTTTTCCTAAAGTACCATAGTTTGACTTTTATGCAGAAATAATCTATGTATGTTCTACTTTAAGAATATGTGGTCCTTTTTAGCAAATAATAATGGGAAATGGGTCAAAAACGTGGTCAAACAGGGCTACCGACACATGTTTCTACAGTAAAAAGTCAACCCTAACAGTCAGCCAGCTCAAAAGAGCTCTACAAACTACAAGAAAGAACAGCCTAAAGATGGCAGAATATCTAAGCACAATGAAACAAATAGCAGATAATTTATCTCTAGCAGGAGAAGCTGTTACTGTAAGCCATCTTTACTCCGACTTCCTCTGTGTTGTCAAGTAGCATCATAACTGGCTGGCTTGGATGCAGAATATCTTCCTATAATTTGCAAAATTAGTGGAAAGAATGATATGTCATGGCAAGAGTTTTATGCTACACTTGTTACGTTTGAAAATACATTGCAATACATGAGCTCAATGCAAAATAGTAGTGGGGAGATGATCAATATGACAGTAGACTATATTGCAAAGAAGCAACCATACAGTGGTCCAAATAGCTTCAACCATAGAACACAAAACCAGCATCAAAATTCTGGACAAAACAGAGACCAACACTTTAGTGCTAAAGGCTCAAGAGGAAGATCTAGAGGCACTCGTGGTGGCAAATTTGGAAATGGTTCAAAACCAACATGTCAGGTATGTGGAAAATACGGTCATTCTGACCTCGTTTGTTATTACAGGTTTGAAAGATCACATGGTTCAAGCAGCGGTAATGAAGCAAATGTAGCCTTTATGGCCGCACCTGAAATGGTAAATGATAATGCATGATATGCGATAGTGGAGCTACTATGCATACCACACCAGACACCAACAATCTAAATCAAAAAGTGGAGTATGGTGGAAATGACTTTCTGATAGTAAGTAATGGCTTTAAACTACCTATAAACGTGTTGGACAAGCAACAATCTCTTGCTTTGTTTCTAAATTTTCTTTATTGCATCTAAAAAATGTTCTCCATGTACCTAAAATTATTAAAAAAAAAAAACTCATGAGTATATCCAAACTCACTGTTGATAACCATGTTTTTGTTGAATTTCACTCGAATTTTTGTGTTGTGAAGGACAAGCTAACCGGGAGAATCCTACTACGAGGGAAGCTTGAAAATGCATATCAAATGGAGCAACCCATTGTGAACGACAATTTTAAAAATTCAAATTTAGCTGAGTCTTATTCCAATTTTCCTACTGCTTTTGTTTCGAATTGTGAGTCTATTCAAAATCAATGGCACAAAAGACTTGGCCACCCATAAAAAGAGTCTTGAGTCAGATTTCTAATTCTTGTAATTTGAAATTTTCCTTGCATAATGAAAGTGAATTTTGTGATGTCTGTCAATTAGGTAAATGTCATAAACTTCCATTTAATTCCTCTCAAACACACACTACTAAACCCCTTGAGCTTGTGTTTACTGATTTATGGGAACGAGCACCTATCATTTCATCTTCTGGCTATAGATTTTACATTAGTTTTGTAGATGATTTCACACGATTTATCTACATCTACCTCTCAAACACAAATCCGATGCTCTTCAAGCCTTTATCCGGTTCAAAAATCAAGCCGAAAACTATATAAATAGCAAAATAAAAATACTCGAAACAGATTAGGGTGGAGAATTTAGGTCCTTTGTCCCTGCTCTACATAAATTTGGCATTATTTTTAAGCATCCATGTCCCCGCACCAGTGAACAAAATGGTAAAGTAGAGAGAAAAAATCGACATATTGTTGAAATGGGCTTGACTCTTATAGCTAAAGCTTCTACGCCCTTAAAATTCTGGTGGAATGCTTTTGAAAGGTCTCTTTATCTTATTAATAGACTTCCTACACCTGTCCTTCATAATATCTCACCTTGGGAAAAAGTTTTCAAGCGTTAACCCGATTATTCTCAAATACGAACATTTGGTTGCGCTTGTTTTTCTTACTTACGACCCTACTAAAAGCATAAATTAAACTTCCACTCTTCTAAAATATGTGTTTTTCTTGGGTATAGTGAGCATCATAAAGGATTTAAATGTTTAAGTCTCATGGGTCATATCTACATTTCTCGCCATGTTATGTTCAATGAACAAGAGTATCCCTTTGCCTTCAATTTCCGTACCACACAACATGCTAATAAAAAC